TCCTCTCCTCTCCTCTCCTCTCCTCTCCTCTCCTCTCCTCTCCTCTCCCTCCTTCCCTCCCTCTCTGTCTCTCCGAAACTGAGCACACTGAGCACTGAGGATCAACCTTCCATGTATAGCATTGAGAAGATGGTGAAACACACTCAATCATAACAAATGTCTATGTAAAGGTTTGTATGTTACTAGGTATACCTTTACAACATCAACACCTTCAAGAGATAATCATTAGCTCTCCCTTCTGATTTCTGACCTAGTAACTGAAATTGCTTCATTGCTTAAATATTCTAATGATCTGGGCACATTAGGATATTTGAGCATTGAGGAATCAGTCTTGTTTATTTTTGATTTTCCAAGAAAGTGAACAATTCTTGTTTGCATGACTGCTTGTCACATCTTGGTAGCACAAGTTTCTCATCTGTCCTGGCCTCTCATTGTCCTTTTAACTCAGACACATAACAACAACAACAACAACAACAACAACAAAATCTATCTAAGCCCAAAAAAAATAGTTTAGAACATTCAGTTTAAATCAAGTGTCTTGATAATTCTTGTTTCTCATTATTTGGGTTCTTAGATATGACTGTTATAAAGTGTATAATTAAAAAAAAGTTTATGCTTTATATTTAGAAGTGATCTTAACTTAGACAAGGCATATCTTTTAATTTAAGAACTACATCTTCAAAATAACCAAGAGAAAGCAGTTGTAAGATAGAGAAAACATGTTTGCTTTCTAAAAACTGCTTTGAATCCTGATGAAATGGCTTTACGTTAGGATATTATAATTGACGCAGAATTCAAAGCCAATTGGAAGACATTTTTTGACAAGGTGAGTGCTCAGTTGGTGGGTGTCCTGCTACAGTTACAGTTCCACAGGAACTCTACAGAAAGAACTCCAAACTTCTTCACTATGTACACCTCAGCATAGCTGCAGACTCTTGCTTCATCTCTCATTCCTGGGGAAGGGAAAGAGGTGAGGCTCTATTAGCTTATGGTAACGTGTTTCTCTTAACTTGATAGTTTCTAGACTATAGTTCAGTCATCCTGCTTGCTGGTTTACATGTGGTCCTAGAGCATCCATCATGCAATAAAAAGCCAACCTTCAAGATCCAGAAATTCAAAAAGAACAGTCACAGTAGTCTTGAGTACTGAGGGATGTGATAGGGTATCCACAAAACTAATACAAAGAGTTCATCCATACAGTTTAGAAGAACCTGAAGATGAGAATTAAGTTTCAACTGTGAAAGGAGTTTGCCATCACCAAATGACTTGGTTGGCTGTTAATGAGTAGGGCTAACATGAAAAGCCAATTCTAAACATATTAATTGGCAGAAAACACAATAGAACAAAATACATCAATTATTTTCTTTGGAGGATATAGACAGTAAAGGAGAGCCAGAGGTTAGACTTCTTCTCCCATGATTTTCACTACTCAGTCATCTGGAGCTTGAAGGTCCATCCATGAACGAGTGGCTTATCAGAAGAAGTGTCCACTACTTTGTTTCTTATAACCAGACACAGTCTTCAGTGGAGAGCAGCTTACCTTGGTCTATATTGTAGATATGCTATCATAGGCACTACTGAGTAAGCACTTTCCCAGTAGGCTCAAAGTGGGCACAAATTACTGAACTTTAACAGGCAGAGATGGTCCAGGGGCAGCATCATGATCAAAGGACCCATCCTTTGCTGACGTTGCCACCACTACCATTTTGCAATGTGGTTGCCATTAGGGGAGAGATTTACTCCACAGATTTCCTTCAGATGGCCTTCAAGGAACCTGCTACAACATCCTGTGTGCAGCCTCAAAACTCACCCAAATACAACCAGGCAATGAGCCATCTTGATAAAAGGCAATGTCATATATACTCATGTTCTGCCTTTCCTTTGGAGCTGCCAAATCTCTTAAGTGCCGTGAATGAACAGTCATTACAGGTGGTGTCTAGGAACCATCCTGATGAATGCCACACAGCTTGGATGTCATAAACATTTTAGCCTTCATTATCTTCTACTAGTTCCCCACTGTCAAGACCCAAACAGTCACAGGACTATCAACAGTGCAAGTGGCATGGGTGAATATCTTTTTGGTCTATGATAGCAGTAGATTTGGGCAGTAGAATGTTACTCTTACATTTGTGTTATGGCCTAAAAAACTGTAGAGAGGTTGAAATTGAAATAGAACCAAGTACACAAGTTCTATGCCATCAAACTCTGCTCAGCATTTTGGACTTGGGACTCCAGAGACAGCAGAACAGATGCTCATTATTGTCACTCTGGCTTTAGAAATCACTCAAAGACCAGAATAAATCTATCCAGCACTGGCATCTGAGAGATCCTAGATGTCTCAGGGATCTCCTTATGGAAAAAGACTTCTTCCAAGTGCTTCGTTACTCTGTGCAGTGAATAATGATCAATCTATGTCAAGCCATCCTCACACTGCTTAGTTCTTCATGGTACCAAGCTTACAAGTACTCTTCTTTGGACTTACTAGATTTTTCATGATCTTATTTTTTTCTTTGTTTTGTTTTATGATTTTTTTTTTCCTTTTAAGACTTCAGTACTGACCATTGATCTCTTTCCTCTTTCAGCAGGGTGCCCTCTTAAAAATACTATGGAAGCTGGGTATGGCTGTGAATGCTTTTAATCCCAACATGGAGGCAGGAGGCAGGAGGCAGGAGGCAGGAGGCAGGAGGCAGGAGG